TTCACAGACATACAAGGCCAAGTTGGTCCAGCTAGAAAGAAAATATATACAAATAGACCTGTAGACATATATTTCTAGACAGAAGACCACAATTACATAAACTGCAAATATTTAAATATATACGTATTTGTATGTATCGATAGGATGGGCTTGGCAAAATAATTGTCTATATCTTCTGGCAAGGTTTATGCATATCTGTGCCTGTCTATAAAATCAAGTACCATGCAGCATCTCCTATCTGTTAAAAAGAAGGACTATACAACAGGACATATATGCTGTCCGGCCACACGGGCATCACGAAACAGAGTTTAATCAAATGAGAAGAATAATACAAAGATTACGAGGAAGAGGGAGAGAGAGAGAGAGGGATATATATATATATATAGACATACATACATGCAAACAATATATCTATATATATATATATATATTTACATACATATATATATATAGAGAGAGTGTGTATATATATATATACAGATACAGATAAATCAAAAGTATATACATCCATAAATACATAAATAATAAAATATCAATGCACAAAATATAGGTTACATACTGATAACATATATATATATATATGGTCACATTCTAGATAAAGCTTCTGGTGGTGCAGGCCAAAATAGGCTAGCCAGGAGGCATGGAACTAATCGGTATGTATATATATATATATATGTCTATATACATATACATATATATATATATATTGTATGGTGTATATCTGTACGTGTATCCATACAGATATAGGTGTATACATTTATATATGCTTATATATATATATATAATTCTATATATATATATATATGTACATACATACATGTAGAATGCTATATATAGATGCACTTCAAACATATCTATATTTTACCTGATATAGATATATGTGTCTGGCCACAATGGCTTGCAGGGACCCCCTGGCGCTTTTCCTGGACCCCATGGCCCGTCACTGGAGTCTGTTCGGACGGAGCCGATGTGGCATCCTTGGGTTGAAGCCGTGCTCCTGGACGACCATGGCATGCTCGGCGAGGTAAGAATCCATCTGGGTGTCCCTGCAGTACCTTAGCTGGGCACGTCTTGGGGATTAAGAGCTGATATTTCTTGGTCAAGTCCGGATTATGCTTTGCTTGCACCAAAAACAAACTTGAAAATATTGCGGCAAGACGGCATTGGATTTTATTTGGGTGCTTGTGTCTGAACAAAAAGATGTGTCAGTCTATCCTGCTTTACTACATATAGTGTCTGTATAAGTTTATATATATATATATATAGAGAGAGAGACTGCCTAAAATGTACATATACATATGTATATATATATATATATATACATATGTGTATATATATATAGGAACTGTATAAAAGAGAATATTTATATCTTCCAAAAACAAAAACCAACTGGATGCATCCATGGTTGCCAGCCATGGAGCTGTTGGCACCTGTCCCACCGCTGGTTCTTGTAGTGGTCGATGAACCAGCTGCACTTCTGGGCCCAAGTGGGCTTCCCGTCCATAAACATGGTGGGAGTGGATGCTTCCAACTCCCTGGCGAAGGCTTGGGTCAGCATGGAGCAGTGGTCCCAATCCCCTTCGCCCCATGCAAAAAGCATCCAGCACATCTTGTGCTTCCACCCTGTGGCACATGAATGTACAGCTGCATCTGGTGACTGCATTGTCTGCTTGGCCTGTGCCTTTGGCGGCTGCTCCAGTCCTGGTGGTGGATGGTCTGGGTGCTTTGGCTGCCTTCCAGGTGGTGGCTCGTCCGGTGGATGGGGTTTCGGCGGGCCCTGGAACCGCCAAGGATTGCGTTGGGAGCTGGAGCTCGCCACTTCCTTGGGACCTGCCGCCTCCATCTCTGGTGCTGGTGGGGCGGCCTGATTTTTCGCAGGCGGTGGGATGACCTTTGGAACATGCCTGCTGGTGGGAGGAGCTTTGGGAACAGCTTTTTTGGCTGTCGGTGGAAGGAAGGCCTTGGGGATGTTGGAGCTGGTCCGGGTGGCTGCTGGGGCCTCCTCGGTCTGGTCCTGCTCCATGATGTGGTGTTGCACGATGGCCGTGGCCAATGTCACCACAACATCGTCTGGATTCACTTCTTGCCGCCATGGTGGGATTGGCTTCGGTTGCCCTGCCTCGGGCGGTGGTACCACGACTGTGGGAATCTGTGGCGGTGGTTCCTCCACTGGGTTCTGTGTTGGACCGGTCGGCAATGGTTCTTCTGGGTTGGGCGCTGGCAAGGGTGGCGGTGGTTCTCGGTCCGCCTGTGGTGGTTCTTTTTTGGGCGGTGGCCGTGGTGGTTGTTGCTTGGGTGCTGGTACTTCTTCTTTGCTTGCCTCTGACGGTTGTTTTGGTGGTCTCCTTGGCTGTGGCTGTTGTGGCTGGGGTGGCGGTGCTGGCGCCTGGGAAGCCTCTGGCTGTCGTGCTGAAGGGGCCGGTGGTCGTGCTGGCCTCGTGCTTGGTCGTGTCCTCGTGGCTGGGGTGCTCGTGGTGGCAACTCTGGGATGGGTAGGTTGG